ACGGACAGAGACGGAGACCTTCGAGAGCCAGTGTACTGGTCCCCTTTTCCTTGGATGGGAAGCCCCCCATAGTGGGGCCAAGGCAAAAGGGGGGAGGCCTTCTCCTTGCTGCGCGCGCTCTGGGAGGCAGCGTAGCGTGTGACCCGCAAGGGTAGCGGTCCGCAGAATATCCCTGGGTGTTATGCCGTTAACAAAGCGTTGAGGAATCTAGCACCACGTTAGTTCCTACCCTTCACGATCTAGCCCAAGCAGTCGACCCGTTCGCTGAACGCGATTGCCGGTTCCACGAAGAGAACTGCTTTGAGAGCCGTGACGACCCCCGTTGAGATCCAGTACCGGTTCGTTTTGTTATGTATAGTAAGCAGCAGGCCAGACACTTTTCGTCCAGTGGTGCGTCTAGGCAAGTCTGAAAACGATTGTAACCCGAGGTTGATGGGAAAAGCAGAGCAAGTCGACCTTGCGGAAGAAGCCAGGGATTACGTCAAGATGGCTCGTTGGGACTCTATGGTGGTACAAGACTCCCTTCAAATCATCCACTGTCTCCTGAAAACAGATGCTCCGAGTGCGCGAGCAGCCCAGCCATCCGGTCAAGACTGCGCACAGATAGAAACTAACCCCGGACTTGGTCAACGGAACAACTTACGTGTCTGGAGAAGAGTGCCCCCCGTGACGTCCGATGTATCGAGCCAGCAGAATGGGAAAGCGAGGAGGGGGACAGTCGCGTCATGGTAGAAGACCGAGGCAACCACTTAACCAGAGATCTTGCACATAGTTTTAACTCCCTGTAAATAGACAATCTGAGCCCTCACGTCCCACAAGATTGTGGAGACATGATCGACATTGACGTGTCACTTGCTAATTGGCCAGAGTACTTCAGTCATCAGAATAAACTCCAGAAGTGAACTATCTGCAGGGTCCACATCGATTTGCTTTCGAAGGATGTCAAAGTACAAAAAAATACTAGGTCAGCTGAAACAATTTTGTTGGCTTCCAAGTGGAGCTAATGGAACGCCATGGAAGTTCGATGAACCGACAATCATTTTTGAAAGGTCACACTAGTGACTGACTAGTCAGATGATGACAAATCAGGTCTTCTTTTCAAAAAGTTATGGGATTATAAAGGAGTCTACGAATGGCAACTTGGTCGTACGTAGTGTGCATTGTACGGAACACCCCCATCAATTTACCTAGATGTAGCCATTGAACCCATGTATACGGTCCAGAAAGTCTTTCGATTCGATTATATTGATCTAGTCACTTCTATACGTAATCCCGCTGCGAATACGACAAGATGCAGATGAACACCACCAGCGCGTTCCGATTGCTCTTGATGTCGTCGTCGTCTCCGTGACCCAATATTCCATCCAGCTCCAGCAGGTGACGCGTAAAAACTTCTACTTAACTCCTTCACGCGGTAGTCAAAGGCCCGAGCTCGAGACGCATGTTTCTTGACGATAGCTGCGGTGTCATGTAGCTTGAATGTCTTCAGTCGCCACTTGGTCCCACATACGGTGGCCATCAAGTGACGATATTGAGCTGGCACTCGCGTGCTGAGCTTCTCCTGTACATCGTTAATATTCTGTTTGATGGTCTGCAAGCGGCTCTTTTTGTGGGATGTCTGGGTGTATATCGCGTTGATGGTTGTTTCGACATAATGCACGTTGGGACTAAGTAGATTCAATAATGAACAACATTTGGATAAGTATGAAGCTAATTGAGACAGGTGAGGACGTTTGAGATCCTTCGTCGCTAGAGGATACTAAAGTAAGACGATAAAAAGCTAGACAATATGAGGAGGTTCTATTCTAGGCATGAAAGGTTTGACATTCAATGTGGTCGTTCATTACGTCGTTCATGAGCTAGCCAAGCTTGGCAAGCTCAATGTATGATAAATGTATTTGATTGACACCAGAGTGAGTGACAGACAACTCCTCAGCATTCCTATGTCAGTCGACGAATTGCTAGCGGAAGACTTGCTGGATATACCCGTACTCACTTCATATCGGCCGTGAAGCTCGGGTTAGAATAAGAATGCTACCACAAAAGAGAGGCATCAGAACTTGCACGAACAGTGATTTGTTCTGCAACTCTGCCCGTTTGCGTATATACGCTCAGTTGCAGGAACGCTGCTGAAGAACGTCCAAGACAACATGAATCAGATAGGCGCAAGCTCACTCACGTATAGAGATCTCCAGCTCGGTCTCACTCCTGACAGAGTCCGCCCCTTGCTTGATGCGAGGGCGGAGATGAGAAAATTGGCCCAGTGAAAATGCCCTTGTCATCCCTCTCGCTTCCGGTTCATGGTTCCCACACACGACTTGATGCTCCCAGAGCGCGACTTCACTGTCAGCTTTGACTAGAATGTTCTTTGTATATGCACATAACGAAAACGTTGTGCAGGACACTGGACGGCGTTTGCGCCACAACGATCGAAAAGAACGTTGTTTTGCCGGCAGGCGCTGTAGCAGCACCAGCAACGACCTACTGAGGCTGCTGCAGCTGCTTCGTCTTCCTTCGCGGAAACAAGGTAAACATGCAGACTGATTCAGCCCTACTTTTTCGCTCACAGTCGGTATGGGCGTTCTAGTAAACTGTGAAAAGATGCAGCCATCAATCAACAGAGCAATACACCTATCACCCCGAATGAAACATTATACAGTCAAAGTTTATACTATGAGACGCTGATAGGAACATACTTCGAAGTAATAATACAAGCGGGCTGTCGCTTCATTGCTCAATAAAAAACATCTTGCAGGTGAACTGGAATCCATTCAATGATAGACAAACGACAACAATGTAATGGCAATCCTCATATTTTCTTTCAGCCACAATCTCACTCTGCTTACCAGCCTGCATTGACAATCTCCTTGAGCAGCGACTGGATAAACGCCACACCAAAGCCTGTTGATCGCTCGTCATCACTTGTGAACACTGGAAATGCCATGTCGACGTGCAGCCACTTGCCCGTATGCTCGAAGTCTCCCAAATGGTTTGCGATGAACTGCCCGGCGCACGACACCTGCGCGTTAGCACGGTTTTTCACCGAGTTCTTCATGTTGGCTATGTTGCTCGTGAACCCGAGGCGGTGAAACTTCGGCGTATACGGCATGGGGTGCACCAAGTCGCCAGAGACTTTACCCGCCTTGACAGCCAGTTCCTCCAGACTACCGTCATTTGTGTAGACAGCACCGATACGGTTACCTGTAGCAATGCCCTGTGCTCCCGTCAACGTGGCCATATCCACGATCACCTTTGGATTTAGGTGCTTGACAGCATACGCCACGCCATCAGCAAGCACAAGACGTCCCTCGGCGTCCGTGTTGTTTATCTCCACCGTTTTGCCCGAGTACATCACCAGCACATCATCTACACGCATCGAGTCCGGTCTTACTGAGTTCTCAGCCACACATAGTACCACATGCAACGGAGTCTTATCTGTCGTATTCTTTGCGTGACACGCTGCTTCAAACGCGGCCAACAGCGACGCTGCCCCGCCCATATCACGCTTCATGCCGACCATGCTGCCACCCGTCTTGATAGACAGACCTCCCGTGTCAAAGATAATTCCTTTGCCCACCATCGCCACCCCTTTCGCATCCTCAGCTCTTTCCGGTACGTGACTCAAACACACCAGCGCTGGTTTATGAGTCGCAGCTTTTCCGACTCCGTATATGCCACCGAATCCCTGTTCATGAAGTGTTTTACCCTGAATAACCACGATCGCAGCCTTGGTCCTTTCTGCCACCGTACGAGCTTCAGCAATGAATGCATCCGAGTGCAATTCATTAGGTGGAGCGTCTACAAGTCTCGTCGCCAATTGAATGGCATTGGCTGTATGTTGCAAGAGTGTCGTCTCCTTCAATGTCAATGGGGTCTGATACACCACCTCGAGCTTATCCGACTCAATCAGATTTTCTGCTGTCATTGGCAGAGCATTTTTTCTCTGGAATGTGTGCTCATAAAGTGGAACTGCGCGAGCCACGGCCGCTCCAGCAGCAAACCACGTGTCCGTATGAGTCGGTAGCATTAACACCACTAGCACCACCTCATCGTCGTTTTGCTCTGCACCTCTTTTGGTTATTAGTTTGGCGTGGTTTTTGACAAAGGACGCAATGGCATGAGGTCGTGCCAACGTGTTGGAACGCGACACCTGCGTCGGTAATGCAAATAGCGTCACGCGGAGTATCACGGACGAGTAAAAGCTCAGAGGTAGAGCCTATGGTCGGTACTGGGGTTGAGAGTAGCCAGAGTATGTTGTAGAAGTAGAAGATTGGTTCGAGATGAAATACTACGATAGGTTTTCTGTCCTACGAAGAATGGAAAAGCGAAAGCTGAGATGAATGGGGCTATGTTCTTCTTGAAAGGTACTTGGGTCTGACAGCCTCACATCTTTACAATAATCTTCGGACACACGAAAGCCTCGTTGATACTCCTCTCGCTCTCGATCCACATATCTGTATCAACTGTGCACTCGACCGACACTATCAAGAGCATTCAGAATTGTACTTGAAATGTAGCGCTCGAAATACAGCAAAAGGACGAAAAGCTACGACGGAATTAGAGTCGAGCCCCCTCTCGATGACGAAGAGGCGCTATCCACAAAGCAGCAGAGAATGAAAGATGAGCATCTGCTTCTGAACCATGTAAATGAATCACTGGTGTATGCAAGCTCGTTGCCGCTATTGATGCAAAAAACCTGTTGCGCTGGGCAGTGGAGGCCTCGGTGTATTGCTCCTCTTGGTGGTGGTTTTTGTGGTTCAGGGAAGCCTTTTACAGACCCCACGCGTGACCCGTTTAGCGACCGAGACAACCACGTGGATGGAGATGTTACAAACTGACGTTGTCAGTCATATGGATAGAGATGTGGACCCGCGTGAGGACTTTTACGTGGTAGTTGTGGATCATGGCAGAAAAAGGTGGAGATTCCGGAAGACAAGTCGAGTGTGTCCTTGGTATTTTCTACTTTAGATGACAAGAATGAAAAGGTGATAAAAGACGTGATGCATCAAGGTTGGCTGTTCGTGGGCGAGCTGTACGACTCGTGCATGAACTCTAACAGCACGAACAGTACGACGGCGGATGACGCGTCGTTGAAAGTCTTGTCGTCGGTGTTAGAGCAGATTGCTGCGACGAAAAGCAAGAAGAAGCTGTTTCGATTAGCAGGAGTCTTGCACAAAGCAGGAACAAGCTTTTCAACAGAGCTCGGTGTCGAAGTGAATGCTCAAAAGCGCCGCGTGCGTGTTGTATGCAGCGCAGTATGGACTGCCACTGTCGAATCCCCTGTATTATTTGGACCGCAAGAATTTTGACTCCATCAGTGACGCAATATATGCGTATGTGGTGAAGTTGTTTGTGTTAGTTGAATGGGGATCGCGTGCAACAGCACCGCAAGTTCCACAGTGATTGGTTGGGAAACAAACGCTTGCACCGCTTTTCGTATCGCTGGATGATCCTATCGCAACGTACAATCGCATGAGCGTGGCTCAAGCTGCTGATAGATATCCATTGCTTTTCTCACAGTTCTTGAAGGACGCATGTTGCTTAAGAACCTCACAGATCAGACCGTCTGCTCGAAGCCTCCCAAATGGTTTGCGATGAACTGCCCGGCGCACGACACCTGCCCATTAGCACGTTTTTTCACCGAGTTCTTCATGTTGGCTATGTTGCTCGTAAACTCGAGGCGGTGAAACTCCGGCGCATACGGCATGGGGTGCACCAAGTCGCCAGAGACTTTACCCGCTTTGACAGCCAATTCCTCCAGACTACCGTCATTTGTGTAGACAGCACCGATACGGTTACCTGTAGCAATGCCCTGTGCTCCCGTCAACGTGTCCATATCCACGATCACCTTTGGATTTAGGTGCTTGACAGCATACGCCACGCCATCAGCAAGCACAAGACGTCCCTCGGCGTCCGTGTTGTTTATCTCCACCGTTTTGCCCGAGTACATCACCAGCACATCATCTACACGCATCGAGTCCGGTCCCACTGAGTTCTCAGCCACACATAGTACCACATGCAACGGGGTCTTATCTGTCGTATTCTTTGCGTGACACGCTGCTTCAAACGCGGCCAACAGCGACGCTGCCAGACGGGCACTTCTACGGATTTGCCTCGTGCTACTAGCACACACCTTCAGCACAAGCGAGGAAGCGGTTAGACCGTCTTACCGTCGCGTGCGAGGGTGGTTATGCGGTTGGTCGACTGCTTAAGCAGTCGTACCACCAGTTGCCTCTCGCTTAAGCGAGAGTGCAACGAGCTTCTAAAACAAAAAGTCACCGACGTCACGCAGAAGCTTTTTCAGCTTCTCGTGCGTGGCGCTTATGTTTAAGCAAATTCAAGACTGAGCTATATTTAATGAATTATAACTTAATATACACTTAACTACTGATTAGCTATATATATATATAGAGATCGGATACGCGACTCTTTAGAAGCGTATCCTGTCGCATGAACTTAAATCTAGAGTCAAGATCGCAACTGACGTCCTTCTGAGACGTCGCGATGCCTAGCTTCAACTATCGTCATCCCTTCCATGTGAATTCATCAATGTATATCACATTCATGAGGGTGGATCACATTTTTGTATCGCACCCAAGTGACAGGTCAAAGTAATCATGGATACTTTTAGACTTAACATTAAGTATATTACTTTATGTTTACGTGTAACTAGATGCCCTGTTACACCATCTCCCTTGTAGAATGATTTTTACATTTTGTAAAACATCGCCTAGGAGACAGAGAGACTTGCGAGCCGGTATAAACGCGCCGCTTTAGTCTACTCAATTCTCATGCCACCGAAACGTGGCAAGGCTAATGGGTCGCCTGCAAAGGCGGCCATTCAGTCCAGCAATAAGCGCACGCGCCGCGATTTATCGCAGCCGTCGCAAAGTGCTTCAGACACTGAGGTGAATCTTCCATCTCACTATAATGTGGATGAAGATCCATCTCTCATTGTAGACTACAATGAGACTACGCCATTGCCATCACCCCAAAGTGGCGATGAGCAAAGCGCATTGATGGGACATATGTCCCCATTATTTGAGGCACCCGTCCTTGAGGGAGCATCTACGCTTCGTGCAAGCGAAGGTAAAGCCTCGTCGCCTGCGCCTACGAGCGCAGCGACCAAGACCGAGCACGCTACCTCGAAAGGAGTAGTCGCGACTCAGTCAGATGTGACTCCTCAAGCTGATGTCTTGACAATCCATAATGGAGAGTCAGACTCAGGTGAGTGTGAGCTTAAAGCTCCACCAAGTACACCGTCGGCCTCACTAGCCTGCCGTCGCGAGGACGGCTACGTGAGTGGTGGCTTGCCACCAATGCCACCTCCATCTAAGTGTATGAAATCGGATGGGTCTAGTGCAGCGCTTTTGCAGCGTGCAACTATTGACGCTCATAAGTTTTATAGCGTCTTTCCCTTGTGGAAAAAGCAGGGCAAAGCACTTGGTCGTGCTTTCCCAATTCCAGTCGTGCTGCGTTCTAACGAAACAGCCGACGACTATGAAGCTAAACTTCGGCGCCGTCTTACCTTGCATGAAGATGCAACGAAACAGCGGTCGCAGCGAATCATCTTCGCCATGAAGCGTGCGCATGAAATCTTAGGTGATAAGCGACCCCCAATTGATTCTCGCCACGCTTCTTCTGCTAGTCCATCCGGACCTAGCAGAAAGACGAAAGCTGGTGCTGCTTCACATAAGCAGCCACCAGACCAGGCACGTCGACGCGCAAAGCGTCAACAGGCTCCCACGAGTCAAAGCTCGTTGGGTAACCCTTCCACTGGACAAAGATTTGGAGCTTTCGCTTCACAAACCGGTGGACCAACAGCCTTCCAACAAGGAAGCGCGTATTCCCTTCCGTGTCCACCAACACAGGTGGCGCCCGATAGGAGTGGCGATTACGCCCACCTACTCGCGGCTGCCTACCCTGCTGCTGTTCAGTCGCAAGCTGAGTCCGCTGCGCTGAAGAGTCAGGTGACAGATCTCGAGAGTCAAGTCTCGCGACTGACCTCGGATCTGCGCGATGTGAGGGCGAGGGACCATCAGGAGTATGACCCCCTGAAGACCCGCTTGGACATCTTAGAGCGACTGGTGATGAGAGACCCGCGTCAAGCGCGGAGTCCTCCTCGATCGCCGAGTCCTCTATCGCCTCGTTCGTATACGGGGAGCCTCTCGGCTTCCTCGTCGCCTGATCGGTCGCGACGCTCGACTCACAGTCGACGTCACCATCGGTCTCGTTAGACCGATGTGGATATGTAATCTCTTCTGGATCAACATACCGTTTCAGACGACCCACGTAGAATACGGGGTGCGTCTTCATATACGGTGGGAGATTGAGCCTATAATTTAGGTCTCCAACTTCTTCAACCACTATAAAGGGCCCAATGAATCGGGGCAATAGCTTAGTAGTACCACCAGGTAGTACAGAAATTGCATGTTTAGGTAGGGTAGCAGTACTTAATAGCACTTTGTCCCCCACACTAAAGTGCTCATTGTTTTTGCGACCATGCTGGTATGCATATTGTTTTTGCTTGTCCTGTTCGCTTGCCATCGCGTCACGGACTTTACGTGTGATGGCTAATCGCTCATTCACAAAGCGCTGAGCTTCGCTCACGCTTTCAGCATCCAGCTCGCCTATGACGCCTCCAAGAGGTCGTTCATGGGTCGACGCTGTTGATAACACTACAGTGTCATCATCAAGGAGCACTGACATTTCTTGTCGTGCCTCCTCTGTGACACCTATAGGTGTCGTGACCACTGTTAAACTACAGTGTCACTAGGGCAACCTTGGCCCTCTTTGGCATTCGCACCGAGGGGCCCTCCCCCACTAAGACTCGGGCTGCGCACAAACGAGACTGGCGTTTGAGGATGACGCAGTCCGTTAATGTAAAACGGTGTTTCACCCGTACTGGCGTGAACACTGTTATTAATAGCGAACTCCACGAATGACAATTGCTTGCTCCATTCTTTGGGAGTCGCTACTGTACGCAACACATCCGCCACGACTCGATTGGCCCGTTCTGTTTGGCCATCGGTCTGGGGATGATCAGCGGTTGACATGTGGAGCTTGCTTCCCAGCAGCTCAAAGACATGTCGCCAAAAACCCGACGTAAAACGCGGATCCCCGTCCGATACTATGGACTCGGGCATCCCGTGTAGTCGATACACGTGATCCAGAAACAAGAGGGCAGCCTCTTTTCCTGAGATCTTGGTGCTACATGGTGCCAAATGCACCATCTTGCTCAGTCTGTCTACAAAGACGACGAGCCCCATCCTGCCTTTATGGTCAGGCGGTAAGCCAAACATGAAGTCCAAACTGACCGAATTCCAACATTCAGTTGGAATCGGCAGTGGCTTCAGTGGCGCACTGTTCGAAGGTGCAGGCTTTATTCGCTGACACTCTTCGCAAGAGCGAATATAGTTGGCCACCCATCGATATAGGTGGGGCCACCAAAATTCCTCTGACACTCGTAAAAATGTCTTTTCACGGCCCAGATGTCCACTATATGGCGCATCATGGCACTCGTGAAGTATCATCAGCTTAAGATCTGTGTCATGAGAGACATAGATTCTCAAGGGATCACAGGGTGACAGTTGATGCCATAACAGGCCATCACTGTAACTAAAGCGATTTAGTTTCGCTTTGAGGTGCGACGGAAGGGTAACCTTTCGTCCACCAAAATGATCCAACAGCAGGCGACAATGTTCGTCCTGACTGTAACACTCCTTGATATCGGAGGCCATTGAGCTCGTCACATGTTAGGCCTTCATGGCTGCCAATGTTGACGACTCAACTTGTGCTTTCGCACGAGACACACTTTCCTGGTGCCTTGCCTCGAAGTCTGGTCTGCGCGATAACGCGTCAGCCAAGACATTCGACTTACCCGGCTTATAAACAACTTTGAAATTAAATTCAGAGAAGAATGTTAGCCATCTCGCCATTCTCGGCGAAAGGTGCGGTGAATTTATAGCGGTCCGCAGTGATGCGTGATCCGTATAAACCATAAAAGGTTCGGTGCCCAAGAGGTGCACCCGAAACTTCACAAGGGCAGACTTAATTGAAAGTAGCTCCTTGTCATGCACAGGGTAATTCAGCTCGGCAGATTTTAAAAGCCGAGACTGATAAGAAATGACACGGTCAACGCCGTCGTCATCCTTCTGCATGAGCGCGCTGCCGATTGCAAAATTGCTTGCATCGCAGACGACGCTAAAGGGCTTATCCGCGTCTGGCAATGCCAAGACCGGTGACTCCACAAGAGATTGCTTCACTGATGTGAACGCATCTTCTTGCTCCTTTGATTAAGTCCATTCTGTATCCTTTTTCAAAAGATCAGACAATGGCTTAGTCTGCTCCGCATAATTCTTGCTGTACTTATGCAAGTAAGTATCGAGCCCAAGGAATTGGCGCAGATCCTTCACATTACGTGGGACTGGACATTCCTTTACAGCCTTTACCTTTCTGGGTCTGCTCGTACACCATGTGCACCTACGAAGCAGCCCAGTACAGGTATCTCGGGGACCCCTATTACGCACTTTTGCAAGTTAACGTATAATTGGGCGTCACCCAGAGTCTGCAACACAGCGTCTAAATGACGCTTGTTCGACACTATCGCGCTCAGACCGTCCTCCGCCCTATTATGCACGAATACATCGTCAAAGTAATGGGGCGCGTAGAAACGGTGCTGACGCAT